GACAAGTAATTATCACAGTTTCATAGAAAGCAAATCAAATTTAAGTCTCAGTTTCATTGCATAAAATAAATCAGATTAAATTCCAAATGCCTGAATCTGTCATTACATTTTTATCAAAAGAAATGTTTAAGAAATTATAAAATAAGTCGCCTAAAATAAAATTTGTTTGTTTTAAAGCTTCAACAACATACTTGAATCAAACTTTTTAAATAAATCTTAAGCTTTTGTTTTATAAAAAACATAGACTTACTTGTCGTTTTCTCATTGAATTGAATGTAAATGATTCAATTTGGCAGGCATTCAAGGATATCTAAAATATATATCTTACCTTTTGCGGTTTTGTACTCGAGTGGTCTTCAACGGCTTTAGCTTGGTATTGCTTTCCGAAACTTCTGAGTCTTCCCTGGCACTGACTGACCCCAACGTCTAGGTGGTTCGAAGTTTGTAAAGAAAAATACCCCGAAAAAGTTAGCGCGTTGACAGGACGATCCACCTTTGGTGCCAGAACCAAATGCCACGCCTCCTGCGCCCCCAGCTCCAGCAGCGGCTGCTGCTAAGGTTGCTTTCACGGCTTCTGCAGCCAGCACGCAATGCGGAAACTTTCACCAAAGTGAAAGAGAGTGAAAGGGTGGCGAGCTGGTCTGGGAAACTTGCCCCAGTGCACATAAAAATTAAAATACTTGCCACGCGGTTGCATAGCAAGCTGAAGATGCCGCAGGGGCATGAAGCTTCTCGCTTCACGTTCCATGGCTAATTTATGATTTGTAATAGGAATATGCGTATACACATAATACTCGCAAAGATTGAAACTTTAAGCGGAATTCTTGCAGCGCTTTCCAGTTAACTCTACTTCCCCCCTTTTTCCTCCTCCATCGGTGGAGCAGCACCGGAACTTTGGCTGGAAACTTTGCCAGCTTCACCAACTTTGCCAGCCAACCCAAGACAAGGGCTGACAGTTTTAACAACGCCACACTCCCCTGCTTTATTAATTACACAAGTTGTCTCGGCAAATATTTTTCACTCAAATTAATTTCTCCCATGTGGCCACGACGGCAGCTGTCACCGCCCCCCAGTAATTACCCTTCGCTCGGAGTGCACTTCTCGCAAGATGATGGAACAACAATCTATTTGGACACCTACAGCTAAGTACATCTAGAACTGGACCTGGTCCTGGACCTGGACCGCTTAGTCCAGTGGCAGACTCTCGTGCAGCCACGTGCGTCCGCCTCCCTCGGCGAAGTCGGCGGCGGCGTGATCCTGTCCATTGAGGATCCACTTGGTGGTCAGCAGCCCCTCCACGCCCACGGGACCGCGGGCGTGGATGCGGGCGGTCGAGATGCCCACCTCGGCGCCAAGTCCAAACCGGAAGCCGTCCGCGAACCGTGAGCTGGCGTTGTGGAACACACAGGCGCTGTCCACGCTGCCCAGGAAATGCTTGGCCGCCGCATCTGCAAATGGAAATAGAAATGGTAGTGAAAGTGGAAATGGAAATGGAAATGGAAATGGGGAAACTCAGAGACTGTACAAATTGTGGGACTGCGGCACTTGGACATGCACACCAACCAGGGCAGTGCCCACACGGACCGGCGAAAGAAAGTGTTGAATAAAATTAATTTCCCAAATGATTTAAATTTGTTGTGGCAAACTGCGGGGATCGCATGCATGTAAAAGTTTGCACGCCAAAACTTGCCCCGACTCGAATTAGGATTCGGGTTTGGTTTCGGTTTCGGTTTCAAGTTGCAATGGCTGAATTGCTGAAGAAGTGCATGCTAGTACGGCATTGAGGGCTAAATTAAATTAATGTTAGAGATATGGGGTGGTCATGCCATCGGCAGCACGAAGTGTAGAGTTAAGTACTCAAATGCTCATTCATTTAAAATAATAGTGGTGGAATTCTTCAAAACATACTGACGAACTAACAGAGAAATGCCATGCTATACGAAAACTTCTGAGCAATAGAAAAATTACTTGCTAAATTAAATAAAAAATTTGCCAACTAACTAAAATACCCCTACCTTTTGGGAAAAGGAAACTATTAGAAATTAATAGAGAAATGCCATGCTTTACCAAAACTTCTGAACCATTGAAAAACCATCTGCTTAATTTGATAAACAAATTTTGTTAAATTCATAGAAAAAATACTTTTACCTTTTGGGTAAAGGAAACTATTAGAAATTTATAGAGAAATGCCATGCTATACCAAACTTTCTGCACAATAGAAAAACATTTGATAAACTTGATAAAAAATTAGCTAACTTCATAGAATTCCTCAAAACATACTGACGAATTTATTGAGAAATGCCATGCTATAGCAAAACTTCTGAACAATAGAAAAACCATTTGCTAAATTTGATAAAAAATTTGCTAACTTCAAAGAAAAATACCCTTACCTTTTGGGTAAAGGAAACTATTGGAAATTAATAGGAAAATGCATGATATACCAAAACTTCTCAACAATAAAAAAAACCATTTGCTAAATTTAATAAAAAATTTGCTAACTTTATAGAAAAAATACCCTTACCCTTTGGGTAAAGGAAACTATTAGAAATTAAAACAGGATACATTATTTAAAGTACAATTACTCCTCACAAAGGAAGTTAATTAGCAGTCGAACGGGAAACTATCACGCTATTCCCTGCCTAATTTCATATGTTTCTGCACACCCTGTTGACTCGTAATGTGGAGAATTATTTCCAGTTGCTTGAAACAGATAATGCATATGTTCTGCAGCACATTTAAATTCAGACTCTGTATCCACCTCTCCTTCCTCTAAGCCCGCAAAACCAAACTATCTGCAGCAAAAGCCATTATGAGGACTCCTCCGACGGCAGTTCGCAATTCTCATTGCTCCACAAAACCAACTCAAATTGGAATGAAACTAAGCGCCGGGACAAAGTGGGGCCACAATGGGGGAGGGGACCATTTTTCAACTTCGATTGCCGGCAATCGAAATTAATTTTCAATTTTCCGACATTTCGTTACCATTTTCCGTAACAATGACATCCGTGTGGCTGCTGCCGTACGTATGGATGTGATTAATGGCCTCGTCCAGGCTGGGCACAATCTCGATGCAGCACTCGAGGGCGCCGTACTCGTGCTTCAGGCTCTTGGCCGCCGGGGGGCCAAAGGTCAGCTGCTGGTTCAGCCGGGGGCCGGCATAGATTTTGACGCCCTCGCGCTTCAGCATGTTGCAGACATCGCTGAAGATTGCGCCACTCATCAGGTCCTCGTGAATGAGCAGGGTCTCCATGGCATTGCAGGCTGAAATGACGAAACGAAATGGATTGGGATTAGAGCTCCGTTTCTGGGTCAATTGAAGGGGCTATAGGGCTGCAGGGTCGTAGAGCTGTTGCCTACCCGCCGGATAGTCGCACTTGGCGTCGCGCGCAATGCGCAGGGCCTTCTGCAGATCCGCATCCCGGTCGATATACACGTGACAGACACCCTCGGCGTGGCCCAGGACGGGGATGTGCAGCGACTGCTGCTGGATGCTGCGCACCAGCTCCGAGGAGCCACGCGGGATGATCAGGTCGATGTGGTTCTCCATGGACAGCAGGTCGCTGATTTCCTCGCGCGTGGAAACCTTTAACAGTGAACTCAGTGTTACAAATATTTCATATAAACTTAAATTAAATTTAACTAAAGACTTCCAATTAGTATTTTAAAAAGTTTTGAATTTTGTTAAGTATTAAAAATCGTTAACTGTACAGTAAAATCTCATTTCAAGTGACTCAACACAACAGGTGTAATTCACTAATTTTTTTCTAGGAGTTCTAGGAATTTTATTCACACTGTGCTGATAAATCTTTTTTCATTCATTATCATTCTTTTATGGATCCTAATCACAAATTATAGTTTTAAAAAGTTCACACTTTAAATGCTTGCAGAATTTTTTAAAAAATTTACTCTGTTTTTCTCTGATGGTAATCGAAAATTTTTTAATTTAACCCTTTTTGGAATGGACTCCAGGCTTTTTTAGCTTAATTACGAAATCTTGTATATATTATAAATTTTATTTAATTAAATAAACATTTTTTTCAAACAACTTTATCTTGTTTTTGAGTTTAAGAGAATTAAAAAGCCAATTGTCCGCTTTAGCTTAAATTAATATTAGCAAACATTTTGATTTGGTTTTACTATTAATTCGACTGCTTTAGCATTTGCCTTGCCTTAAAATGTTTTTTTGCCAAGGCAAATCAAGAGTAAAGTCTGAAAAATATTTCCCTGGATATAATATCTTAGTATGTGATATATAATAATAAATTTGTTTGCAAACTATTGAAATCCGAATTCTATCAAATTAATTTTTTCCATTCAATGAAACTAATAAATTTTATACATAAATGTAATATCTTGAGCTGTGACTACAAGCCTAGAAGTATGTTCGTACACCCAGAGAAAAACTACACAGTAAAATTAACAATAAACTATTTAAAGATAACATTGTTTTTCAAAAAAACATGATAACGTAATTATTAACATTGGTTTACCCAATAGTAAAAGTGTAGATTTACATTTTATTTTAATTTAATGTGAAACCCACCCCTGAATCAGTACCGAAAATATTTAATTGAATGTGAAAATATTTGCTTGTTACATGTTTTTTCTCTGGGTGTAGATATGATATTTAAATTATTCACATTCATTTAGTACCGGTCTGCCGAACACAGCATATTCTTGGCTTAACCCAACGCACCAACGTATACTCACCAGGGACACGGCGTGCTCCGCTCCCACGGTGGCCAGCGCCTCCTTGACCAGTTCCATCAGCGCCTTGTTGCTGTGGGCCGCCTCCTTGCCGCCCTTGAGGAGCAGGCCGTTGGCCGAGGCCATCGCCAGGGCGGCGACCTGGGGCAGCGAGTCTGGGCGGGATTCGAAGATGACCAGCAGGACGCCGATGGGCACGGTGACCTGCTTCAGCTCCAGCTGATCGGCGAGGCGGGTGCGTCTGAGGACGCGTCCCACATTCTGCAAAGAAAGCGGGTCGAGATGAGAAGGAAATGTGAATCGGGGTAGTGAGAGCCAATTCACAAGTCAGCGTAAATCGCATAACGCATACGCCATGTGGGACCGGGCCATAAAAATAACTCGATATTTATGCGACAGTTTTAGTCGCAAGGAGAGCCATACACATACACTCGCCCCGCACATCGATTCCCAGGCGTCCATTTTGAGGCGTTACATAAATCAAGTCGCTCGGCGCGTCGTAATCTTTATTTATTTTTAATGGCCTGCTGTCCAATGCCCCCGCCTCCGACCCCGCCCCTCGCGGCGAGTCCTTCGTCCTTGCGCTGTAGTGAGAAATCTCTGGAAAATTGGCTGCAGATAACATAAAGAGATTGCGGACTGGCCTGGACTTGACTGGCCTTGTTTGCATAGAGTGGCGCTTCGACGCAGAAGGAGTCCTCCTTTACTTCGTGTCCAACCACTTAACTCGACTTGGGCGCTGGGTAAATTTGGTTATATGGTCATTATTATTGACTCTGGCGTATTGTAGGACGTCAAACTTTAAATTATATTTGCAAAGGACAATTGGATAAGTCGAAGACGATGTAGTGGCGCCTTGGAAGGATGCAGAGTAAAGTTGGACAAGGTTATTGGGGGTCATAAAGTATGCGCCGGAAATTAAAAATCCGTGTGAGAAAGTGTATTCCTGCCAGTATTTCATTTTCGCAAATATCTTCACCTAATACTGTTGGGCTACTAAGTTATTCAGTATTTATTTCGCAATATAAGTTTATGTGAAGTGTAAGTAGCCCGGGTAATTGAAAACTGAAGCACTGCCTATTAAACTTTGTAACGCTTCTGGGCCCAGAGGCCAAACAATGTGTGTGGCATTTGTTTGTCGCACGACAAAATAAAACAGAAAAAGTGGCACAAAAAAAAGAAGAGAAACACTTTCGCCACTGGAGCGACATTTATTGAGTGCGTTATGGTTTTTCTGTATTCCCAGACAGCTCTCCTTTTTATGATTTTTCACGCTGCCGCCATTTTGTGTCACAATTTCGCTTGCCATTTTTACAATAAACTCATGTTCCCGTCCTCGATGGAAAAAGTTTTTCCCAGAAAAAACATGAGGGAAACTTTCTGCGTTTCCGCACAATCACATCCAATAAAACGGTTGGCTTGGGAGGGCAACTGTGGCCCCCATCCCTGCGATATTCGATCAACTCTGTCTGGCTCTAAAAGGGGATAGGGGCAGGGTCAAGGGTCAGGACAGGGATAGGATGCGGGCTAATGTCACCGGCAAGACACCAAACGAGAACGCATACAAGAAGCTGTCTTTTATCTTCCACTTGCTTAGCTGCCACCCCATCCTGGCAACTTCCGGGCATATCGGGCACATCGGGCTGCTCCGATGATGACTGCTCCCTGGGCAGACTGTTGGGTCACCATTCGATCGAGCACCGAGTGCCCCGCAGCTGGGGTGTCAATTTTTGTTGAAGTGTAAAATTGCTTCCAGATTTCATAATGCTGTTAAAGCACGGCAAACTGCACATGGCTCTCCGAGTGCGCCTTTGTCGGAGCTCATGAAATGGCCATTTTGCCGGGCAGACAAATCCCGGCCAGGAGACTAACTCGATTTGGGGCTGACTTTTCGACACTGCAGCAAATGCAATTTGCCCGAACCTTTTCAGGGGTCGGAGGTAGTTAGGTAGTTAGGTAGTTAAGTGACTGAACCTACCTTGTGACTGTCCTCGGCGATTTGCTTGAGGCCCACGGACAAGTTCTTCAGCTTGGCCGAGTTGAGCGAGAGGCGCGACAGCAGCGGCTTGGCCAGCCCGTTCTTCTGGGCCTCGGCCAGGTCCTTGGCGTTCGCGTCCAGGACGAACTTCTCGCGGCTCACCAGCAAATCGGCCAGGGTGTTGACGGCACTGGCCCTCTGGGCGGCGGTCAGGGCCTGCATCTGGCGACTCCCGGTGCGCGCTGCAAGCAGAAGGGAAGGAAGTTGGCGAAAACAAGTTGCATCTGCCTAATTAACAGGCACTTTCGGCCAGCTGCTGCAACTGGCCGTAATAACAATTAAATGAAGTTAAGCAACGGCACTTTAGAACCTCCTAAAGTACCTCACTCCCCCCTCACTTTCGCATCCTGTTTGGATGGTGTGAGCCCTTGTCATCCACTGTTACCATCCCGCCTGGGAACATTATTGTCGAAGTTTTCTGTAGCCAGCTTAAAGCATCGCTCCGGATGATTGGCCATCGATGCGGTGGCAGGTGGGCACGCTAAACCGCTAATTATGCGCTCCACTTGAGAGCTGAGTGCTCGCCGCCTAAACCGCTTTTCATTGTCTAGCCACACAATTCGCCGCCATTATCCTTTCGCCCGGCTCTAAGTTCAATTATCCCTGCGGTCCACTCACCATTCTCGGCCATCACCTCGACGGGCACCGTGTTGGCGCTCTCGGTGGCCTCCGTGAAGAAAGTGCCCACCTTCCGGCCGCCAATTATGGTCTTGATGGCCTTCTCCTGCATGCCGTTGCAGATGACCACGCTGACGCCGCGATCCAGGGCCCAGGTGGCCGCCTTCACCTTGGAGTCCATGCCGCCAGTGCCCACCTGAAAGGGTCGGATAAGTGGCTTAAGATTGCTGGGAAGGGAGGGGGTTGTTGGCTCGGGATTACCTTTGACTTCTTGCCAAACTCGATGGTGTTGGTGTCGTCGCTGGTGTAGGTGTGCATCAGCTTAGCCCCGTCCTCCCACGGCGGCTTGTTGTAGATGCCATCGACGTCCGACATGAGGATTAGCAGGTCCGCCTGCACCTCGGCGGCCAGCATGGCAGACAAGCTGTCGTTGTCCTTAATGGGAATGCCCTGGACGAGAAGGATAAGTCAACCTGGTCACGTGCCAGAGGCAGGGATGGTCGAACTCACCCTCCTTGCTCCGCCGGCTGGCTCGTCGTCACGTATGAACATCGGCGGGGAGACGGCATCGTTGGTATTTATGATTGGCACAATATTAAGGCTAATTAATTCGGAGAGCGTGCAGAAGAGATTGTTGCGTGTCTCCTCGTTGTAGAAATCCGGCTTGGTCACCAGCACCTAAGCCCAAACAGCCATCAAGGCCCACTCAAATCTGTGTGTCTAATTAGTGGCTGGATGTGGTCCCACTCACCTGAGCTATCTTGACGCCGTACTGGGCAAACATTGCGTCGTACAGGGACATCAGACCGGACTGACCCACCGCAGCCGCAGCTCGCGGTTCCAGTGTGGCGCCATCGAACTAATTTCGGAGATCAAAAAAGTCGGTTAGTGCTAAACCTGGCTTATTCCGGCAGCTACCTCTTTGCTGTCCTTTGGGTTGAGGGTCTCACGCATCGACAGCGACATGAGCAGCTCCTGGGCGAGCTTCTGTTTCCCGAAGGCCACTGCTCCACTGGTGACCATCATCACCTCACGACCCTCCAAGTGGCACTCGGCAACCTGAACAGTGAAAAATGGTGGGATTGCACATAAAATAAGCATATTTTGAACATAATGTAAGCTAACTGAAAAAGCTTGTATTTCATTGTACCCCAATTACAAACTCAGTATATAGCTAGTATAGTATAGAGCTCTGCACGAGTTAAGTTTAGAATTAGCTCCGACCTAAAGCTTGAACTGTTTGTCTATGACTTAGGAATTACAGGTCATGGATAAATGGAATCATCGAGTAAAAGCTCATGAGCTATGATTACATTATCTTGTTTCAATTTAATCAAGCTCACATTACTCGAACAGTAAAGGCTCAAACAGCTCAAAGGGTTCAATTTCAAACATTTTCAACTAATGGCTTTGGACCTATTTCCTCCAGGATTTAACCTACTCCAATTTAGAGACACAGAAAAACCAATAACAATTAAAGATTGCTTACTTATTTTAAATTTTGTTATTCGTGGTTGCAAAGAAAAAACGGAATGTTAGAAATTAAAAAGGTTGTCATGTTTTAAGATAGATAATCAGATCTCTTTTCGACTTGCAATACTCCATTTCATGTATTAAAAGTTAACTTTAATTGTAGAATATGTACTTGTTATACAAATAAAATTAAAATACATCCCGAATTGCTTTGATCAAATTGCATTGCTAATGTGACATTTCACAGCTCTGATCCAATAAATGAACTACTCAAGTTTATGATTCCAATCAAACTTTTATTTCGATCAAATCGAATAGCTCATCGTAAAAATCTGGAAGCTGAGCTATTTGTACGGGGAGTCTAAGGGCTCTCCGAGTATACTCGTAACCAATAATATTATGGGAATCACTTTAGTTTCGTAATGAACCAGAAAGGTGTCTAAAAGTATGCAATGAAAAAAGAACATAATTTTTCGGAATGACCCACACGGATTTTCGGACTGAAATATATTGTTGCATACTCTTAGGCACCATTTTAAGCGGGCTTCAAACCCTAGTCGCATAGTACATATTTATGCAGTACATATTTATACATATTTATTGCCATTAATCTTACCTGTTCCACGATCGAGGCCAGTCGCCCGAGTGCTAGTCCATGGTTGTCCTCGCGGGTAATGACTGCACTGCCCAGCTTGACCACCAACCTCCGGGCGTACTTCAGTTGGCTGCGCTCCGTGAAGGTGGGATGCGCCTTTTCCAAACGCCGCTCCGGCGACACCAGCTGAAAAGATCGTAAATCATTAGGCACCGTCTTCTAGGCCAAGTCCACTGTCTTATCGGCAATACCAACGCCAATCGGCGAAAACAGCTCGGAAAGGGGAGGTCATAAATTGCGACAGCACCAACGTAAGCCATAAAAACAACAAAGCGCGGCATAAATGGCAATCCAATTAATTAAACAGTCCCTGTCGAATGCACCTAATCAGTTTGTAATCAGCACAACTGCAACACCAAAGACCCTTCCCTGCTGGCTTTATTCGAATTTCTAATAATCATTATGTGTGTTAATTGGTTTTTTAGCCAGCGGCGCGTGGTCAAAAAGTCAGTTAGTCGAACACGCAATGCATAATCAATTTTAAATTACTGCTAATTGAATTTTACAATTCCAACATGGGTCCATTATACATCGGATCTCAAACACGAGGTGCTCTAATTAAAAGGGCTTTAGTTCTTAAATTCAAGAGTTTTTTAGAAATGTATATGTCTGGGAATCAAAGTTCAAATACTTTTTTTTTCGATTGATTGTTCTGATTACTTTTTTGCAAAATCCTAATCCTGTGGGATAAAATGTATAATAGATATGATGATTGCTCTTTTGCAACCTTTGAGAACATTACAAATAAGAAATAACTTTGAAATCAAGAGTCCCGACTACAAGGTGCTCATTACTTGTACATTACTTTATGGAAAACGATCAACTAAAATAATAATTGAGTTATAATATCCCTGAAAATGGCTTGATCTACATAATTATCAAAAAAGGGAAAATTTCAATTTGTGACCATTTACTAGAAGTATTCTATTATTTTTAACTAAAGAATAAAATCAAAGCTGACACATATATTGATTGGAAGCTGAATTCATGTTGTTAACTTCAAGTATGAGCAAGGATAACTCTCATTTCTATTGCGTTACAATCTTCTAACCAATAGGTATTATAGCAACCTTTGCACGGGTAAAAAAACAGGATAAGATTAGCACGTCGAGGAGATAACTGCTGAGAAAACAGCCGAGCAAACAACAAATTTGCTTTTCCTACCCCAACAGCTGCAGCTCATCATGCCACCTCGCTCATCCATCAATCAAAAGTATTTTTATTAGCTTTTCCTTTTCTTTTTTCGCCCCATGCTCCATAGATTTGTTTGGGTGGTAGCTTTGATTGCCTTTCAGGCGCAATAACATCAAATCAGGGGCTTTTTTTCATACAACTCAGCGCATTTGTCGTGTCAATTATTTCAGAAAAATCAACTCAATTTGAGGCGTAAATATTTTGATTTCGTTACATTCGTCTGACAATTGTGATGGCAAGTGTCAAGTGCAGCTAAATAAAATCGTTCGTCGACAATCACAAATGTTGTTTTGTTTACTTTGTTTAATTGTTCGTCCGCTCACCGCTTGTTATCACAAAGTACATTTTTATCACTATCGCAAAGAAATCCAAAAGCAAAACAACCAAGTACGTTTTATAACTCTGTCTGGCTCGACCACCGCTCTGAAACCTATTTTTGGTTTTGCCGGCTAGCATGGCGTATGCGTGATAGTGAATGCATTGAGTCGAAGGTCAGGAGTGGCCCCAGGCCTTAGCTCCCAATTCGATTGTTTTTCAATTGAATCTCAGATAGTGACAGGAATAGCCGATTCCCCATCTCCCGTCTGAACAGTGTCTGAGGCCTGTCAAATGCGCTGACACTCTGCGTAATTACTGAGCAATTAAGGCTGGCTCTTCCTACAAACATGTGCTGTGGCTCATTCCCGTTTTCACTCTTATCTACAGTCCGGCCCAACCTTGTAAGACTCCCGCAGCCCTTGACAGATGTTCGACGATGATGTTTGTGGGTCCCCTGGTACGTTGTCGTTCCTGGTCGCAGGCTGCCTGTCGGGATGCGTTTTCGCTTGTTTCCCAAATGCTTTATGTCCCGGTTTCCATCTACTTTGGCTATTTTTCATGTGACTATACCAGGTACTCGAAAATTATATGGGCTAATTAGAATCGGAAAGACTTACATTTCATTTGAATGAAGTCTCATCAGTTAGAAGTAATTTTTTAGGGGTTAGTCAAACGGACAACTGAAAATAGTTTTTTTACGAAATCAAGTTTATACTTCTAATAAATTTAAAGTAGTTTGTTAATCAGTCTGGTTTTTGGAGACAACTGAAGAAATAACTTAAAAAACATTTAAAGGAGCGTATTTTTAATTATTCACAATTAAACTTATTAATAATAATTTGGTAACTAATGCAAGTACAATCTGCCGTCTCTTAAACCAAGCCGAGCTTTACCTGACGTAAATATGATTAAATTTTATAAAAAAATAAATAAAAATCTTTCTTGATTGCCCCACAATATAAAAAACTTGTTTATTTTCAATCATACTGGGTATGCTCACAAATGGATAACCAAGTGCTTTAGCCAGCTGGTTCTTTAATGTACTGATTTTTATACATCAATATATTGACAAATACTTTTATTTAGTGTAATCGTCAGCATTAACTGAGTATTTTGAAAGTGGTCCTAAGTGATTTTTCACCCAATACTTGTTAGGTACAAGGGTATATTCTGTTAGCCGCGAAAAGGAAGGAATTCAAAATCTCCTAAGAGTAACTAATCAATTTTTTCATCTTATCCTGACTTCGGAACTGTTTGGTACCAAATATTTTTTTTCAAATCTTTTTCAGGAACGTAAGCAAATCACTTTGTATTAATGGGGTTCTTGAACGCGGAGTTCTTTCCTCCAGTCGCGAATCAAATGCTGGGTATCTTATAGTCGGGTGTGCTTTGTGCTACCACATGTGTTGCTCCATTTTTTTATGATGTGCCCCGCACACGCACGTCTCGAGAAGAGGGTAGAGTCCGAGACCGAAGGCGCCATAACTGCCAGCACGTGTCAAAATGAAGTGAGTCAATGGGTGGAGGTGGTGCCGCGTGGTGGTGGGTGGGGGGCAGGGTAAAGGGTGCTCGAACGACCCTGACCTAGGCAAATCGTTTTGAGTGTCAAGGGCTGAGCCCGATGTCGGACATATGCAAATGCGGCGGCGAGGAAGCCTGACGGCAGGACACAGTCCTTGCCTGAGGGCGAGCAGCGCAAATGGTGTTGCATGTTTAAAGGGGTTTTGAGTTTATTGTAAAGCCGACCTCTCACTCCCTCTTCCCGCTCGCTCTGATGGACTGCCATATTTACACTTTTAGAATTTATTTGAACACGTTTTTGCATTTGCCTGACCCAGAAGTCTGGCACGGTCCAGCAGCTGTCATGCTGTGACAACATTTTATCAGCTTGTCGGGCACTTTTCCCTTTCCCGCTGAGCACAGCACTCGACTGGTTTCCATGTTAGTGGAAATCAGACCGAAACTGTAAATGATTTACAGCTTTGAGAGGCGTCAGCCGAGAGTCCTTCGATCGATGCTCATTCAATTAGCCGGACCCCTTTCTTGATGGCCCATTTGTCCCAGTTTATGGCCTGGTTAAGGGTTACGCCGAAACCCTTTCAAGCTGTTGTTGGTCAGCCATAAAGAACATGGAGTGGAATATTACGATAGTGTTTTGTTGCTTCGATTGGCATCTGATTAGACATAAGTGGCAGGGAAAATTTTAAACAGCTGTTAAAGGTTCCCCCCCAATCAGCTATAGCTTTTAAAGGTTTATGCAATCAAAAAACTAGACTTGTGCGACCCACCGAATTGTTGCTCATCGTTCCCACAGCCATCTTATCAGTGAACCAGGGGACCCCAAAAAAAACAACACCCCTAGACAATGGCTTCGCACTCAATAGTCATGACTCCGCGTGCTATAATTTTCCCCTTCACTAACGTCAAGTCAAATCATGCAAACAAAACACTTTTACAACTTTTTTCAATCATACTTACTACTATTTTATTACTTAGTTTTACTCTAGTACTGAACCAAAGACGCAAAAACATATAAAATCTTTATGCCTTGAACCAAAATGAACCGAGGAACATTGCGTATACGACAAGTAAACTGAAATAGTTGTTAAGAGAGCGGAATTTTTCCGGCTAATATAGTTGAATTTATTTAAGTGGAACTGCAATTGACAGTATTTTTGAGTTGTTTTTTGCCACTCGGTCAAAACATAAAAGAATTTTTTAACTCAAAAAATAATACGAATATATGTGCATTTTGTCAAAATTCATTTCAGGCTTTGCATCAGGACTTCTCCAAATAAAGGACCCCTGTAAAGACCCACCAAGTTGTCGCTCATCGAGTCACCGTATCAGGGGACCCAGAAAGCCTTCACGCTCAATCGTCATGACTCGGGGCGCCATAATTTTCCCCTTCGCCGAAATCAACATTAATCAACGCTTATCGGTCAATAGACTGCCGATTTCTTAATAGCTTTTTAAGTATATTTTTTTATGTATACGTAAGTATGTTAAATAGAGTGGACCTTTAAAATATTAATATTAACAAGAAAATTTCTTGAAGTGCAGAGTCACTATAACAAGCTAAGAGCGAGCAGCACCTCAAATTTCCAAAAATATATATTTGAACGGTTTGGAAAATGTTTGAATAAGTCAATAGATATGAACCGAATAAACACATTAAGCTTTATAACTAGGGTCTTCCATATCCCAGAGTGACACTACAGAAGTTCCCGATTTGTGGGCGTAAGAGTGGGCAGATGGACAGATCCTGATCAAAAAGTATATATACATTTTACTGGTTCGGAAACGCTTCCTTCCACCAGTTACATACTTTTCAACGAATAGAATGAATTCAATATACCCTTTTATGACCAACATAGAATATTAAATATATGGTGGATATATGATTTCCTTTGTTGTGTGTTGTGAGGAAATAACAAAGAGCCTTAAAAGAATGATTCCCACTCTGAACCAGTTTCCAACCGGTTTCGTCACTGCTCATTTGATTCTCCTGACCTGAACACAAAGAACTGATAACGTTTGATCAGCAATCAAAGGTCCATTTGCACTGGCACAAAACCGAGACGGACTTTGCATTCAAGAACTTTTCCACCGGCACATAGACGAGTGGTGGAATCACTGTCACCGGAGTCACTTCGGCACTCCGTCAGTTCGGCACTCCGGTTATATAAACCCCACTCACTGGCTGTCGGGGTCCGTGGGAGCTGGCCGCTCGCCAGGCGTTTCTGGAGAAGCCGTTGCGCAGGCTCTGGGCCAGGTGGAAGCTGTTGCACAGCATTTTGGGCAGTTAGGCTCAGGATCGAATGATTTTAGTGGAACGGATCGGAACGGATCTACTGCAAATCACGGAACGCGCTCGAAACCGCACCTCAAAGCCCGACAAGTTGTACTGAGGCGAACCAACGGACTGACCGCCTTGGTCGCTGGTCGAGATAATGTGGGGCAAACATGTGTAATTGTAAGTGTTCATTGCGATTGCGATTAAAATTTGGTGTGCGGGGCGGCCTCTCTCACTGGAAATGTTATCAATCAAAGCAGCTCCTACGCTCTGGGCCGGTCGGATTGCGACAAACATTGGACCCCAGAGAGTTCGAGGGGCTTATCAAGTGGGGCAAGCGACGGGAAGAGCGCTATCTGGCTTGGGCTTGGAGTTTGGGTTTGGGTTTGCCAGGCCAAGGGGGGCAGTGCGTTTGGGTAGAGATGATGAGCAAGGTGTCTCGACAACCCCGCGTCACAATCAATCATCGATGGCCCTTCACTTCGATGGAAACGTAATTTTATAATTTCCACAGTGAATTACCCATCAAATCTCAGTGCCACTCAGCCAGAGTGCCATAAATAACAGGCTGTTTGAAATATTAATTAAGTGCTGAAAATGTCTACTTGTTTATTTCAATGGGAAGCCTCCCCCCACAGAGAATTCCGACGAGCGCATAATCAGTGCATATTGTGCTCAACTATCCTGCAGCCTTTCATTAAATTATTTTCAAAATGCAGCAGTCACGGCAGTCGGGGAAACGACTTTCGGATGACCTGTGAAATGTAAGCCTAACAACCTACCTCAAAAACTCCGTCCATGAGCTCAGCATATCCGGAATGAGTTCCGGAACACAGCAGAAAAAATCCCTGACAAAGGGCAGCACTGACACCCGGACACAGAATTATTTTCATAATTAAATGACATTAAAAGTTTTTGTTTCAGCTTTGTTGCAACCCCAGCACAGTTGCCACAGCCACCAAAGCCCCTCGTCCTGTCGGGTCCTGTGTATTGTCCCCGATTGCCATTGCAATGCATAGAAAAGCCATAAAACACAATACCAAATGGCAACAGGCCTCTGGAGAGGCGGGGTTAGTGGCCTGGCTGCTCTGGCTTTTGCTCTGGTCTCGTCTGTTTCTGGGTGGGGCTGCCTGGGGTCAGATAAGTGCAAAATTATGTCCCCGTTTTCCTTGGGCCCCACAAAAAAGTGGCACAAGCTTTTCAATCGAATGGGGCCATTGTTTATGGCTGGATTTTGCTTGCTTTTTTGTTCCAGCACTGACCCCAGGTCGCAAGAACTGGTTGAATTTATATGCATCGAAGTGAATAAGAAGCCCATAACATTACGCATACGCCAAGTAGGCCACTGGCATAAATAGCTGTCTAGTCGAGCGGAATAATATAATATATAATGGCGTAATCCTCTGGTGAAGCTTTGCCAGCCAAAGCATCATAACTCTCTACTTCTGTAGTTTTTTTTTATGAAGCATTTCCCTGCTCCACTGGGTGAAAAGTACAAAGGCAAAAACCTATTCAACTCTGAAATTGTGTAAAATTGAAATGTAAATATCTGGTTTTTGTTATTGCTTCATCTGGCTGAATGCATTCCAGGCTGTACATCAAAGAGTTTCCCAATTAATTGATACTGGTTCTGTGTCAGTGGCACTTTTGTGCCAAACTGCTGGACTACCGGGTTACCATCGATTCGATGCTGCCTCTCCGTTCGACCAAAAGAATTCATTACTTAGTCGTGTTCTTACATGCCGAGCATTCCATTCCTTTATTCTTGTGCCCCAGCAAACCAAAGACAATCCACATCCTGCGGCCATAAGTTCGTCCTGGCTGCTTCGCCTCCACTTTTCTGACTTAATGTATGCGCTTTGCCAAAGTAGGTCCTGTCTGTCCTTGGCGCGAGGACTGCCTTCGCTCTCTTTTTGTCCGGGCAGTGAAAAATTCACTTACAAAACACTTACGCCGACACCTTGCCACGCCCCCACGCACACACACACACACACAGTTGCAGCGAGGGAAACTTGTGCATTGCTGCAGAAACTTCATCAAATCCGAGCTAATCACACTTTGATTTGCATTTTGTGACGAAGCGAAGCGGGAACTTTTCGAGCAAAAAGCGCATCGCCACCACGAGCAGCACTTAACTCTAAGCGTTGCCCCGACATTGATGAATGAAGCCCACCACCCATCGCCCATCGCCTGCATCTGGTAATTATGCTAATGAGATGTCTTCAGTTAGAAGGGAAGCAGAATTGGCTGCCTCTGCCTCTGTCTCTGCCACTTGAGTTAAATGCAATTAATTATATTTTTTAAGCCACCAAGGCCCTTGGGCATTCGATTATGTAATTGCATAAAGATATGGAGATAAACAGGGCTATTTTGAAAGCTCTAGACGTTAAAATCTATTAATTGAGTTGTGGATTAGTCTGTATTACTGCTGGAAATTCGGTTGAGACATAATTGACAAGAATAATTAGCTCATTTAACATATTTTCAAGAGTTCAGAGATATCTAAAACACCCCACTAGATATGGTTAATAGTACAATAAGAAGATTCTCTGCATAATACTTGTGGGATCAGCTTAATCCCTTCTAGAACTCCGTGTGCTCGTAGCCACCGTTGTCATAGGTCGCCATACTGTTCCGATCGGAGGCTGAGAAGCTAACCCTTTTGGGCACCAAGGGCGGACGCTTTCCGGCCTTCGGAGTGGGCGTGCCCCCGGGCGTGGTGGCGGCATTGACCTTGGCCTCCGAGCGCCGCTTCTGGAGCAGCTTAACAGACTTGCGGTTGAGGGCCAGGTTCTTGAGGTTCAATTCGTCGTCGCCGAAGAAGCGCCGCTGGAAGTTGAGCACCAGGTTGCTGTAGTCGCTATGCTGCTTGTTCCGGTTCTCGTGCAGCCGGCAGATCGTCTGGCGACGCACCATGCTCTCCCTGTGCTCCCCCTCCGCGCCGTCCATCGCCAGCTCGTCGTAGTGGGGATCCCCCTCCTCGTCGTCGTCCTCAAAGAGCCTCCTGGGTCGCTGCAACTTGCGGGCTATGCTCACGGCACAGCCCTTCAGCTCGGTGGCTGCGTCCTCGTCGGTGAACTGACCGCCGGACCGGAACCAGTCCACTCGGGTGGTGGCCAGCAGTTGGCACAGGGTGGCGAAGCGATGGAAGAACATGGCCAGGAACTGGATGATCAGGATCAGCCCGAAGAAGAGCACAAAGCACAGGCCGATGGGGTCCAGTTCCTTGTACTGCCTGTAGATGCCGACCATCAGGTTGTCCCTGTCGAAGGTCACAAAGTCCGTGGGCTCGATGGGCCACTTCAAATGGAGGAACTCCTTCTTCAGCTGCAGCAGGAACACGATCAGCACGAAGATGGCGTTCACCATCACAAAGGCGAAGGCGATCATGTTCCGCAGCTCCTTCAGCCCATCGGCCATCGCCTGCTTCTGCTCGCGACTCAGCTCCAGTGGCTTCAGGTACTGCTTGATCAGGTCCTTCCAGAAGCGCTGCTCCATCAACGACACCTCGCCCAGCTCCGAGTCGATCAGCAGCGGATCGTTTAGCCAGCCCGGCAGTTGGTTATCCGCCTCATTCGCCGCGACCATGTCGTCGTCCTTCAGCACAGGCGCCTCTCGTGTGCCCCACGAAACGTCGTTCATGTTGAACACCGAGAAGATCATCAGCAGCATGTACATCGAGGGGATGGTGATGTAGTAGATGACACCACACAGCAAGGCCCAGAACTCCTGCGGATGCATAAAACCTGAAAAACAAGAAACGCAATCGTATAGATTTCTTAAGTAACAGCATTTTTTTTTGTAACTACAAACAGTGTATGGAGATGTGAAAGCGTTCCCATTATGTGAGTTTGCTGTTTACACGGAGCTTTAGACTAACAAACCTTCGTTTTTGCTTTGCTGGTTTGACCGATTCAAAGCAACAACAATTGTTGTTGAACGTTGATGCAATATGCTTGTTACGCGCTAGCTTTATTGGCATAGTGGGCAATTATCGAGTTCGCGAGGAAAACACAAAGAACATAATAAGAGACATCTAAAATAAAACCTAAAACTATGTACGGTGCAAATATGTTAAAACTGTATTTTTTAAGACAGGGATAGTGGTTGCAATGGAAATTTGACTATATAGATTATAAAAATTATTATAAAGAAGACGAAAGGGTTTCTACAGGCCAAAATTGTAGGTACATATTGGCAAGTTAAGAGGATGGTAGTTGCGGTTAGGTCTTAAGGCACATTACAAGTTTGAAAAGATTGTGCATAGAAATAGTTCCAAGCATGATTCTACAATCGTAGAAAAAAAAGAGTAGGTAAACTAAGTAATAGTAATCTAATAGAGTAAAAAGGCAAGCTTATATTTTGATTTCTGTTCATACCACGAAGGGCGAAAAGAATTTTTTTTGTACAGACTCAGTACGATTAATGTGAGCAAAATGACTACCCACTGTGTTTTTTTGGATAGCAAGCCAAATGTTATTTGTTTTTGTCTTATTCTCGAATCGTTCCACGTGTGCATTTTTAAAGCCGAGTCGATCTAGACTTGTCCGGTTGTCTGGCTGTCCGTCCGTTTGAACATCGAGTTCTTGGAAACTATCAGAGATACAAATTTCGGATTTGACATGTTGACAAGTTTATTTCAAAACGTGGCCACGCCCACTCCAACGCCCACAAATCGCGAAAGTCTGTCTTGTCACTCTGAGATATGGTAGACCTTAGTTATCCAGCTGTATATGTGTGATTTGTTTATATCCATCGGTAGAAACAACAATTTTTTCGGCCGCAGCTCTGCCGCTGCTCTGCCGGCAAAACACTACGCCAATTCATTGGATAGGGCCTGGTGATCGCTGATGTAGAGAAACAGATAGCTTCTAGTGTTGGCAATGAAGGACGACAGATAGGGCAAACTAGACCCAAATTGTTTTTTGAGGAAAAATTTAGTTTGAAATTTGTTAGCTGAGTAACAAGTATCCATAGTCTTGTTTCTTAGTTATGTTGATATGTGCACTGCCATAAGGCAGTTTTGAGAACCCCTGCCTTAAACTATAGCCCCAACTTCCCAGACTCACCTGCAATCGTGATCTGCACGGCGACGAGCAGGAAGAACAGCGATGCGGGTGCCAGGGGTCCGTCCTCCAGCATCTGCA